TCCAGTGTACAGCACCAGTCTGCTGCGTGTCAGACTTTAAACTGACAAAGTACTGCCTAGGCTTGACTGGTATTATGGTAATACCCTACACCATGGTACTTTTGAATTTAATCATACCCCCCCCACCAGTTTGGCAAATATTATTGTAAAATTCTGCAATAGGTTTTCTTTTTAAAATACTGCCAAAATAAAGTATACCACAGTGTAATGTCTGTACATTATGATGGTATAGAAGATTAGATACCTTCCAAGCCTAGTATCACCACTCCACTGAAGTCTTTTTGCCTTGTTTATCCACATTAGAAAGATGCTGTAGTAACTGAGATGTTGTTTTCTTAACCACCAAAGTTTCCTCGTTCATCTTTTCTGTGATATTACCAAAGCAGTAGCATGCTCCGCTAACTCAGTCAACCTTGCTGTGCGTTTGTTAGGTTATGGGTTATTGAAAGAGTACCACATGATTGGTTGGAATTGCATTTATTTCTGTGATGTGATAGGCTATACTATCAAGCAATGTTCCATATCAACAGCCATACATCCATTTTCTGAAGCTGCTTATCCTGTTCAGGGACAGAGGGGGTCCAGAGCCTATCCCAGAAACTAAGGACACAAGCCAGGATGGGGGGGCAGCCCATCGCAGGGCACATTCACACAGCATTCACCCACACATGCACACCTACAAGCAATTTGGCAATTACAATTAGCCTCAGCATGTTTTTTGGACCGTGGGGGGAAACCAGAGCACCCGAAGGAAACCCCACGATGACACGGGGAGAACAATAAAACGCCTCACACATGGAACCCAGGCGGAGACTCAAACCTGGGTCCCAGATATGTAAGTGCTAACCACTGCACCACTGTGCCACCCCTTCATATCAACAGTTTCTCCAAGTCGATATATTGTTTGTATCACCCAATCCTAGTGATGGACATCACTGTGAAAAGAAGTGATCCTTATAAAGGAGAATGAGGGACTGCTGGATTAATCAGTGCCAGTGGGTGCCATTCTGGCTCTTTGTACTGGCCTGGCCCTCTGCTTGACTGCATTGTTGATGATGGCGCGGCCGTTGAGCATACAAGTGGCGCCAGTCGTTTACAGGTTGATGGACAATTAGGTGCCCTCCTTCTGCACCTGGTATGGATGAGCACCCACAGAAATGAGAGGCTTTCATAAGTCACTTATCTGCTCTCAATAATGCCGCAAACTCTTAAGTGCTTTTGGCCTCTGGAGACTTGGAGTGTCTTGGAGTGCGTGTAGTAAATGAGTCTGTTTGTGTGCCCGGCCAATACGTGTGTTTGAATGACAAATTGTGTAAGTGGCTTAGCTTGGCTATTTGTTTGATTAGTTGAATACTAACTGTTCTGTGATACTGAAAATATTTCTTTAGCTCTCATGTAGCTTCAAAGCCCTATAACTCTGGGAAGTGAATCTTTCTCATAACAGCTTCTCAGCCCAAATGGTTCATCTGTTTCAAATAAAGATCTCATGCTGAAGTAAAAAAAAAAAAAAAAGCTGCTGACACTTGATAGACTTTATCACCTCATTGAAATTCATGCTGCATATTCTCCGGAAAAATACCATTTAAAGATCAATATCTTTCCAGAGTCCCTACATTTCACCTGGTTTTCATTGTAACTCTTTTCCAGTCAAATCTTCCACATTTGTTTCACAGGTCAAAATGTAGGTGACAGTTTTGCATGTGAAACAGATATAAGTGCATCCTTGCTCGCACTGTTTTTTACATTGTGAATATGAACAATGATATTTTTTTAGATTCTAATAATATACAAAATATATAATGGGAATATTACAATTTTGTGTTTCTTTCATTAATGTAAGGTGTGATATTCAGGTGTGACTGACTCCCTGGCATTTCTGCCCCGGCAATGGGTTGATTAAACTCAGATATTTAAATATTTTGTAAATAATCATGAATAATTTCAGTCAGCTGTGTGACATTGCTGATCTGGGTCACTTTTTAGTTTTTACCATTGGAATGAAATCTTCAGAAAATATCTTCCAGTGGCACATTATGTAACAATCAAAAGAAATTACTTAAGATTGTACAAAAATATCCTGATATCTCTCAGTAAACTACCAGGGTCTGTAGTTCCACTAATCACACTCAGAGCCATTATGTTAAACCGGAGAATGTTTAAGACAGCAGTGATTCTTCTCGGAAGTGGTTATTCTGCAAAAATCCCTCCAAGAGCAAAACTTAAAATTGACCTGCAGGAGTCTGCAGGCCCCTGAAAATGATGGAAAATATTGGTATTCACGACGTCACCATCAGAAAGACAGTCCGAGAAATCGGGATGCATGACAGGGTTGTGAAATGAAAACCACTCTTTATTAAGAAGAATATAAATGTGTATCGAAAAGTTGCTAAAAAAAAAAACTCTCAGGATAATTATCAGGAATTTCTTGAAAAATAGACGAGTCAAAAGTTAACTTTGGACATCATGGGGCCTTGTTATTTCCGACAAAAATTGAAAAACAGAATTAACCAGTGGTCAAGCATGAAGGAATGCTCTGCACCAGAGAATTCCCCAGGAAAATGTCAGGTAATCTGTCCATCAGCTGAAGCTGAGGTGCAGCAGGGTCACACAACAAGACAATGCCTTTTGGAAGCCTGACTCAGAATGGCTGAAAAACGGCAATTAGTTGAAGAACACGTTTTTGGATTGACATAATCCTGACCTAATTACTATTGATTTTCAAGTTAAGCAAAACTTGGAATGAGAAGTTTGTATTCATACATCAATGTATTTCACTTAGATGAAGAGGTTCTGTATGGAGGAATAACCAAAACGTTCAGGGCACTGTGAGACACACGTACTGCTCTACAAGTACCATTCAAGTACTGCTCAGCAAGCATTTCTCAAGTACTGTACTTTCTTCTTAAGGTTGCTTATCCAGAGTGTGGGTGATAACTTTTTTTACATTGGAGAATTTACATTTGGAGTGTTTTTGGATCCTTCTTGCTAAACGAAATACATAAGCACCAACATTTTAGTTCATTTGGGTCCCTTCTTGGTTGAGGACTGAATGGCATCGAGTGTCAAAATATATAACTATGCTTTTCAGGGTAGTGTTATAAATATCCTATAGAATTTGATTCAGTGTGACCATTTAGATTCTGGCAGCTTTAGGGATCATTTAAGGATAAAAGACTAAAGTTTAAGTGTCCTTCATCCAATGAGAAGGTTTACTTTTCTACTTGAATTCTCCAATTAAAGTTCTTAAAACACCACAAAATTATGCCTTTGAAATGGAAAATTCAGTGTTTAGCAGGCGCAGTGTATTTCTGGAACATTATAGGGAATGAAGACAAAACAGATAAATGGGACATAAGTTTGACTGGTGTAATTGGATTTGTGTTTTTTTTTTTTTTTTTTTTTTTAAATCAGGCTCCATTCCCTGATCGTTTTCTGCTGTATACTAAAGCAAGCTTTATTATTATTATTCTTATCAGGACTGTATTGTGAAATATAGATATAAAGTTAAAAAATAACTACTGTGCAAGTGTCTTCTGAGCAAGTTAATAAAACAATATATTTTATTGTGTATTTTCTATTTTCTATTAATATTTTGTATTTATTGTTCAATAAGATATTGAAACAATTAAATGATTAGCGTTGTTGTTTAATACATTGCATTTTGAGAGAAACAGCATTTTTTTAAGGTAGATTTTGCACTTGTTTCAGACATATGCTGTAAGCTGGCCCTTGATCAGGCTACACACCCCCACTGAGTGAACCACCCGATTGGGTTACACAGGCAATTAGGCTGAATGAAGGTATTGGCTGTATCAGTCTGTGAGTGTGGGAGATGGTGCAGTAAATTTATCCACCCTTGTGCTACTTGGTGTTGTGACATACTCTGATATCGATTGACAAAGGATTGTTGTTCTGCACTAAGATTGACGCAGGCTGAGTTTACACAACGATGCTCAGTTTCAGAAGTCACTTGCGCACAGTGGATTAGGTATTTTGTGAAAGGTTTCTTGTCCAGAGTGGCGCTGTTGACTGTCACCCATCTGAGGCTTGAAGTTGAAAGCAGACTGATTAACATCTTTATGATACTGACATTGTGGCAACGTGAAACGAGTGGTATAAGGCTTGGGCTGGTCCTCACAGCCTGGTCTCAGAGAGTCAGCCTTGATGTCTCCATCCACACCTCAATAACAGCCTTTCAGCATTTCACACTTAGTCCATGCAGTCGCAGGCACATGTACAGATAGTGGATTTGATAGTGATAGTTAAAATGTAGAATAATAAATATGGAAGATCATGTATATGTTTGTGATCTGGGACAGGAAGGACTTACACTGGAATCCCAGTAAGCTGTGTGATTTTTTTCATCCTGGTCAGCTGATGGTTGGCCTGGCAAGGAAATGGTGCATTAGATTTGATTTGCTATGGTCCCCACTTCTAAGAGTAGCTTGTGTTTGTACGGCTATGAAAACCCCTGCAGAGTGGAAGTTCATTTGAACCTGATTCCTCTTATTTTGCACAAACACTAGAATATTCTCCTTGGGTTTATGGCTTTGCTGGATAATCAGTGTAAGTAAGTCTTTCCTAATATGGGCACTAAAACCGATGTCACACTTACAGATCTGCCAAAGCCTGTTTGTTGTGTTGCTAGATCGTCTTTTGATTGTGAGTGCTGGTTACCTGTTTCTGAATAATTTAGGAAATTCTGATTTCTGTTTTTGCTTCATCAGGTTTCGACTGAGGTGCTTGCTCACTTACAGTAGCTATTTTTATTTGCTGGTCTGAATTCAGCTCAGCTGTCTTAAGACAGACTTTGGGTTTTCTAATCATATCAGTGGAACACATATTGCCCTCCTGTTTGATGTAGCCTTTTACTTTGCTGCCTGGTTAGTAGCTAGCTTTGATGTAGCTAGAATGCCAGGTTCTGGTGTAGCTCTCCTAGATACTAGTGCTTCTTCGTTAAGCTCTTCGTTAAGCTCTCCTTCTTCACGTCTTTCTTGCAGCTTGCAGGCCGGGGTTCTACAAGTCTTCCTCTGGCAACATGAAGTGCTCCAAGTGTCCCCCCAACAGTCACACATACCTGGAGGGGTCCATCTACTGCATGTGTGACAGGAACTACTTCCGCTCTGAAGACGACCCCGCCTCGATGGCTTGTTCCCGTAGGTGTCCTTCATGTCACCTCTAAAACATCTCCATGGAGAAATCACACACTGAATACAGCTAATTCTTCTCTATTATAGAAGTCATGATAAATAATTTGCTATATAATGTAAATATTCCTTGCTGTTTCAATTTCCTTATGACATTAACTAATAGTGCTAGTACTGTGGTACCTCAGTTCTCGAACTCATTAGAACTCGAATTTCTTAAAAGTCAAACCAACCAGTTTGAAAATTTTTTTAACTAGAACTCGATCTGAATCTCAGAAGTCAAACCGTGAACGCCGAACTAAGATAATTTGTATGGACGAGGAAATGAGTCACGCGGCACGTCTCTCAGCAAAAACAAAGGGTAACGCTTCAGCCTCACATTCGCTGTGATAGCATCGTGCATGTTTACACTAGCTGAATACATATATTTAGACAGTAAAAATGCATTTAGACAATTATATAATATTACATTACATTATATAATAAAATACATTTAAAAATAAAGATTTCTTATTAATTATTTTAATATTAATAATAAACCATTAATACATTTAATTATAATAATATTGTCGTGCCGGAGACAAAGGCGCAGACGTCAGAGTATCGGGGAATACGGGGTTTAATTACAGGTAAGGCAGGCAAAACGCAGACGGACAATACAATGACCGGACTGGGGAAACAAACTGAAACGTGGACGAAATGCAGACGACTAATGACAACAACCAGAAACAACTGATCACACGGGGATTCCTCACGGGGATTCCACACGGGGATTCCACACGAGGTTAACGAGGGGGCGTGGCACACGGACGATCGGGGCAGGACACAATGTTTTTTTTAACTTTACACATTGTTTGAATACATTTATTTTCTTACTTTATAAATTACTGTTTTGATAAATGTGCTTAGATGTGTTTAGTACAGTATATGCTCTTCTTGTTTTATCCGGTTCCTTTTTTGTTTAAATGCTAAAAAAAAACACATCTAGATGTAATTTTTCGGGGCCGGGAACCACTTCATTGGTTTTCCATTGTTTCTTATGGGGAAAATTCGAAACTTAAACTTTTTAGGATTCGATCCGCAGTTCTGAATGGATTAAATTCGAGTTCTGAGGTACCACTGTATAATCAATTCATTTGAAATCCTTTAGTGGTATTTTTAATGTTTAATAGTGCTGAACAACAAAAATAATGGTGTTTGTTAAACTTCTAACTCCCAAAAAAAATCCCATTTAATTTCTTATGCAGACCCTGCAATATATGTAACCACAATGAGGAAAGTTGCAGTGCAAATGGGGCCGACTGAATTGTTTTTATTTTGAACTGTATTATTATTGTTCCGACTTACCTACAAATTCCACTTAAAGACTATGGGAATGGATCTCGTTCGTAACCTGGGGACTGCCTGTATTATGGTCTGTTTACAGAGTTTTTGAGCTTCAACCAGAGATCTTTTATAACTTTAATAGACTCTTTTTGCAGAAAATACATGTGGCAGGCAGATTCCAGAGCAAATTTTCAAACAGTCAAAGGCATACTGTTTATAAATTATGCTCTGGCTATTAGCAGTGATTTAGTGAATGAAACTGAAAACCATGATGAATCTGAGGCCAAATTACATGTGTACAAGACACACAGTATGGACTTCTAAAAGGGCCATGAAGATCAGCACCTATTTCCACTGTACAGTGGATTACAAACGCATTGTGCTGAATCTAACAACTGCTTCTGCAATCAGAAATAGCATCTTAATTAAAAGAAAGTCATCAGCTCGCAAAGTAACTTCATCATAATGCTTTTCAATAGCTGGCGTGCTAATAGATCTGACTAAATACATCCTCGAAGGAATCGGGCTAATTGCTGCATCTGCTGGATGTAGAGTAAGAAGCAGCTGCTCGTCTGAATATGAATCGGAAATGCCGCTTGAGGTCCTGGGGCAGAAGGTGCGAGTCTTATCTTGACGGCATTTCGCAGGATGGGCTGGTGGCCCGCTAGCTCTTAAAGATGAAACGCACCCGGAGCGTCTCAGATAGGCTGTTTAATTGGGAGGTGTTAAGAGAACGTCAGTCACGGACACAGAGAAAGAGTTCAGAACAAGACAAGGTCATATGGAGGTCGTGCAGTGTGTCTGTATTCAGAGCATCTCAAAATATATAAAACAAACCAATTAAGAGCGGCCCAGCAGGCCCATCTCCTAATGCGACAGAGCCGGCACGGATCAGAGACGCACTTCTGGCTCACCTATAAATAAAGGTCCGTGCCCGTCTGTTTGCATTAAGTGTCCATGGCGTAGATGGGTGCATATGGATTTCTTCTGTGGTTTCATTTTTCAGGCATTTTTCTCTTATTGTTTCCAGATTCTTGTAGAATGGTCTGGATGTCTGGCAGAACCATGACTAGGGCAGTTCAAGTGAGCATTTATTAATGAAATATGATATTAAATTACTAAGGGTTGATTGGTCCTGTGGGACAAGATATTTTAAAGTATGTCTAAACCCCTTTATGTTTGCAATGCAAAATATAAGTGTTACCTTTTAAGGATACGATATATGATATGTTATAGGATAGGATATTTTTCATCCTAGTCTGAAGCTGGCACAGCAAGGCCAAAAGTATGTCACACGAATTTGCCTTCCTGTGCAGCTGAAAAATGTGATTTGTTAGGCTTAAAGCAGTTTTGTGAGGAATGTTTATCAGTGTGAAATGAGTCCTTGTAACCCATTTTTCGCTCTTAAGTCTATAATTTTTTCCCCATTTGTCCTTTTCTCAGAGTTTAGATGTCATCTCTCCCCTTTTCACTGTTTTTATTCTCTCTTTATTTTCTCGGTCAGCTTTGTTTCATTCACAATGCTGGTATGAACATGGCAAAAATGTGCCAGCAAGCAAATTTATGGATCTCTTTGGAATGTAGTAATCTTCCACACTGAGACTCACAGAACCCCCGTAACCATCTTGTAACACTATTTGTGTTAAAGCTGTACTTATTTAACATCTCACTCAAATGCCCTTCTTTTAACAATTTAATATTAAATTATTTTAAGTAATTGCTCATAAGAGATATTAATAAGCAGCATGTAGATTAATCCGTTAGATATTTTAGTTGTAATACAACTATATCAGTGAAATTGCGGTGCTGCTGCAGCATTTAATTAATCATTTGTCAATTGTTAAAGTAATTAGATATACATCAACTGAGATAGGCAATCAGGTATAATCTCCATCCTCCAAGAGTTGTGTATTTAGACTTTGTTTGTGGCTTAGAATCGCTGTAGATCACATGGTTCTGAAAAGGATTTTCATTGGCAGTCCATGAAGAATCAGTGTCAAATACCATTAAGCAGATGTACAGAGGGATGAATCTGGGTCCTGGTTTCTCACCGTAATGGTTATAGCCCACTTCCTGACAGCTGTGTGACTGGGCGCTGCTCTGCAGTGGATTGTGGGGGATATGTAAATCTAAATGAAATGGGCTGAGACGTTGTTTTTTATGTTGTACTTGTCTACACCAAATTACCTTCTTAAACAACGGTGAGCCTGTGCTTTTTCTGGTCCTGTGCATGATTGTAACAGTGGCATTTCATTCTGGAAACATTAAAAAGGTATTTTAATTGTAAAAACATTCCATTTTCTGACGTCAAACCTGATCTGAGGATTGTGGGAAATTGGTGTCCTGTGCTGCTTTCTGAGATTTCACTCAGTTTTCAGAGACAGCTGCCTCAAGGGTGTACACTGTAATTTCTTCTCACGTTGCAGTTTCATTGCACCCACTTGGTTAACTCGTTGCTTTCTCATTGTTGTACTTCAAGACCGACATTTTTACCTTACTGCCGTTAAGTGATAATTCTACATTCCCAAGAACAGAAGATACACAAAAGATGTGGGGGGATAACAGTGTCTGTACAGAGCTTATACTTTGTACCAAAGCAGATGTGGACTCTTTTATTACACTCACAGGCAGCTTATTGTGTCTGAGAGGCGAAAGAACATCCCTACAGGTGATTTGTCGGATAAATTTGATATCATCTCTTCTTGGTCTGTGGAGGGAACGGGAAATGGTTTAAGAAATGTTGGAATTAAGCCCTGAGTCAAGTTCTAAAGCAAAAGCCACCATTTGTATCTGTCAAACACCGGTCTTTACAGCTTCAGATCAAAGCACAGAGCAGTCCTACAAGCTCCAGTTCAGGGGGACATGTTTTCCCTTGTCAATTCTTAACACTGACTAATTGCTGTGGCACATGATGGCTTTTCTGGCTCAAATCACAGCTATTGTAGAAGGACAGAGGTCAGGCTTTTATTTTATAGGGAGACGTTTTGTTTTTAATGTGTGTTCTTAGTGATAATTTGCCCAAAAAAAAAAATCATGTGTATTTTTGCACTGGCTTTTCTAGCTGGATCTGGTGTCTTTATTTAGGTTAATTCTGTCTTTTTTAGCCTTTACTTTCTGGTCCCGTGGGTGTAGCATGTGAAGACCCTCGTAGGGGAAACGCGGACTCACCAAGTCATGTCATGACCCAGTTTTTGATAAACGTCTGCTGTGTCTGCAGGGCCGCCCTCGGCTCCCCGGAATGTCATCTCCATTATCAATGAGACCTCGGTTATCCTGGACTGGAGCTGGCCCACGGACACCGGAGGGAGGAAGGACGTGACCTTCAACGTGGTCTGCAAACGGTGTGGGCGGGGCCAGCAGCAGTGCGAACCCTGCAGGGGGGCCGTCCGCTTCCTGCCACGCCCCACGGGCCTCAGTAACACCACGGTCACCGTGGCCGACCTGCTGGCCCATACCAACTACACCTTTGAGATTGAGGCCCTCAATGGCGTTTCCGCGCTGGCGCCCACCCAGCGGCAATACGCAGCAGTCACAATAACAACAAACCAAGCTGGTGAGCCCCTCCCTCTTTTAGAGCAGCAGAGTCACTGGCCATCTCAGGCCGTGTCCGATATAACGTCACTGTGTTTCATTATTATTAAGCTGTTCAGCAGATCCCTGGATTGAATATAGTGTTTATCGTTAAAAATGTGCTTTAACACTTGTATAGCTAGATATTTAATGACAGGCTTTGTCATTGCCTGACGTTAAAAATGCAGCTGAGAAATGCTTTCATCCTCCCATTTAGGACAGTGCGAGGTTACGGTACGGTAAATCGTAAAGACCCAAATAATGACAGGTGTGGTTGACCCCCCTGTAAGCATACAAACATACACCGAGAAAAATAAAACGGCAGATATGTGCAGCTGAATTGGTTCAAGAAGCAGTGCTTTATTTTCAAAAGTATAGATGTTGGTTTCTTTCCTATTTTACTGCAGTTTTTTACCCCTGATATTTTCCTGTTACTCACAACAGCCAGATCTCTTCTGTATTCTGGTACAGAGACCTACCGTATTGGGGTGTAGGTCGCAGCTCTCTGGGTTACAGTTAAGGACCTGACATTTCAGGCTCAGAAACATCTGCTCCCAATTTGGATTGGGTTTCCTCCATGGCTGAGTGTCTCTTTTTGTTCTTCGATGGGGGCTATGTACTGTCAGTTCCCTTCTGTCTTTTAAGCATGATGGGTGAAGGGCCTGGAAGGTGATTTAGTGCAGGGACTTCAAAGCGGTCTAAAAGGCACAGGTTATGGGTGTCACAGAGAGTGAGCATAGGAAGCGATCACATACACAAGATTAATAGGTTGCCATCCTTCCTGCGCAGGAAACAATTGACTTTGCTTTTAAAAAATCCTCCTTCTCATTCCATATGTGTGAACGAAAATTACTCTTCTCAAAGCTTTTTATCTGAAGTGCACCTAAGATACACCTAAATTGTCGTGGTTACGGTTGGGTTTAGGGTTGAGGGCTGAATCTCAGTTATATCTGGATAACTTGACTTTGCATTGTTGTATTTATCCTCCAGTCCACCATGTGTTTTAGTTTTCCGTCCATTTCCAGATGTTTCTAGAGCCTACTATATAAACCCTGACGTCTGTAAGGACAGGCTTCCTGTGGCTGTGGGCCATTCGTGTGAATTCAACCTGGTGAACTGTATGCCGCGAACCTGCTATACCTTTCACTCCTTGTGTTAACATGCCTTTAAATTCCCAGACGTGCAGGCCGTAAATACACCTTTAACACTGTTCAGGCGACTCCTGATTTCCAGCCTGTTCTGTATGGCACAAGGGACTCTGGCATTAAGGCTATGGCTGTGGGAAAGAAGCCTCGTGATTGGTCGAAGGGGTTCCTTGGGAACCCGCGGAGGGTTCTATCATTGTTCATGCGTGTCCCAGCATGCACCTCATTAGTGTAGTGCACAAACATGCAAAACAGAGGAAAAATGTAGACATTGTTTTATTGCAGCTGCAATGGGCATTACTAGAGAATGCGAATCCCTGGAGACTGAGTCTGTGTGGTGATGCTTCTTCAGGCCAGGACCTATAGCTTAGCTGTCTGTGCAGAGCCGTGGGGTACGAGCAGATGGAAGTGTGAAACCGCAGTAAGCTGCCTCCAGCGTGCAGCTGTGATGCTCGTCTGAACTGCATTTGGCTGAAGGACAGCTACATCATCAGCTGTGGGGAAGTGGGCTTACAACCAGACCCACAAACAAAGCGAGCATGACCGTGTGGGGGGTGTGTGGCCGTCACAGGAGGGAAAGTCAGGTGACTGCGCTTTTTTGTGCTGATTAGTTCCATGTGTCCCTAATTCCCAAAAAGATTTATTTATTGGTCTGTTGTGTTTTGTTTTACCCGGTAACCCTGACTACGGGTTAGACTCTTGTACCTGGCATCAGTGCCTGACTTACTCATTTTCTTTTGGCTTCTTGTATTCTCTCCATCTTTAGTTTGGTATATGCAGCATGCTTGAGCAGTATGCATCCTGTTCCCGATGCGTTCTGCAGTAAACAAAGCTTTTTTGTTTGTATCATGTGGTTCTGTTCTCGGTTCCAACTGGACCCCACAGGCCCCCGACACCCCCACCGCATGCCACGGCAAAGTACAGCTTAACTCTCACCTCGCAGACGTGTTCTGACTTTTACTGGACGTTTCCGGAAGCAGCGGGTCGCGCATGCTTACCGAAGGAGATTCCATTCCGTTCTGATGAAGGTTCCATGGGGGGGCAGCTGTAGCCTGGAACGGAACGTCAGGCCGTAAATGATCTCTCGCCCTGTGTGACTGACGGACCCTTTATTACACAGAGCTCTGTGGCTAGAGAGCATGTGGGCAGAACCTGGTATAGAGAACTAAACAGACGTTTGCCAGTGTTTGTCCTTGGCATGCTGCGAGACGTGCTGAGGGGTAAGCAAGATGGACATGGCCTCTGCTGCCGAAGCCGTGCAGAGGAGATGAGAAACTGGAGGAGGCCATGTTCCTGTTGGAGTAGACCTGCATGCTGAGCTATGGCAACTTCAGCTGTGGCAGTGTATGCATTTATGGTCGGTTTCTGTCCAGATGTGTGTGTGCATCTATATACTGCCATACTCAACGAATCCATCTCCAACACATGGATCCCAAGGCGATGTGGAATATATAAAGTAAATCTGCAATGTGCTGAGATGATTAACTTCCTCCATGAATTACGGGGATGATCTGGTGGCTTTAGGAGTAATTCTTCAGGGCACTGTCTCGCCTTTATCCTTGAGTTCAGCGTCTCTGTCAAACATGGCTGTGTGCCGCCGTCTTGAAGATTGGCTCAGACTTAGGAGTATCGGCAAAATGTCGGTAAATTAACATCTGCTTTCAATTCTGGCAGCAAAAACTATAGATTCCTTCAGGGCCGCACACATTCATCCTAGCTGTACTCTGTTTTTATGGATACAATAGATATAATGTCTTTTAAGAAATTAGTTTGCTATACAAGACCTTGCAGATCATAGCTGATATTATTCAAAATAATTGCTTAAAACTTCAATGTTGGCTCCTTGTCAGATGAGAGAGGACGATGGCAGGAAACAGCCTTTGTCCTTCTGGATGTCTTCTAATGAAATGTGCAGAAAGGAAAAACAGACTTGTACAGTATAATCATACATGTCAAAGAACAACAGAGTTTTTTCCTGTGGGATAATAAAATTGAAACTGTGGGCCAGTTAGATGCCTTCATTTCCCCAGTGCAGCCACACAGTAACAGGACTGTAGGCAGAAAAAAATAAAAATAATAACAATAATAAATTAGACAATGAAAAAATACGGAAGGGAAGCAGAGTGCCTTGTGCCTGACTGGGACAGCAGACTGGGACCTTGTGAGGTCGTAGAGCAAACCAACATCTGGCCTCACAAATCCAAGTCACCCTTTATTCACTTGTAATTAATTACGTGACATTGTTGTCACGGTGACACCTGTGCACTTGGCTATTCGACTATATTTTACCCGGGTGGTGCCAATTAACTGCTCTGCCCCAGGATACAATTGTTGGGGCAGCTCCGAGGATGTGAAAGAGCAAGGTTCAGATCCAGTGGAATGGAGTTACACACTCTGCATAGTGCGGATTTCACAGGGGGCCTGAGTAGTGATGTTTCTCCATTGCTCTGTCCTTCTTTGTCCTTTGAGAGAAAGGCAGAGAGCTTTTTCTCAAAGGGCTGAAGAGACAGTATACAACAGCCCCATGCAGACACATGGTTTATGATGATTCTCTGTAATACGTTCTGCATGCTATGATGTTCTGCGTGACCAGCACTGCCGCCCCTAGCCCTCTGGAGAGTAAGCCCCTCCCTCTCTGCCCCTTTATGTCCGCAGCACCTTCTCCTGTCACAGTCGTCCGGAAGAACAAGACATCTCAAAGGAGCATTTCCCTGTCCTGGCTGGAGCCAGAGAGACCCAATGGGATCATCCTTGACTATGAAGTCAAGTACTATGAGAAGGTAAGTTCAAAGATGTCACTCAAGTTACTTCTACAATAAATTGTGTGTATGAAAATAGATCATCATAGTTAAGCATCAGCATTATGTATTTACAGTACATGTGATCCTATCCAATTTTTCTATCAACTTTAAAAATCTTTTCCGTAAGAGAGTATATACCTACTATAAGTACAATATGTAACTGGAACAAGGAGAAAGTTGTGCTGGTTACCTTATGTTGTCTCCAGATATTCATGTTTAGATGGTTTTATATAAATTGTCATATCATATTCCCTCCTAGGGTTTAGTGTTAACATTACTGGGTACCCGGGAGTCCACTGACAGCTGTTTTTTTATATTATTAGACATAGACATAGACACAGACATCTGATTTAATGAGTTGAAAGTTTATTATGTGCAGTAAACGTGTTGCTGAGGTCTGAGTGTGAGAATTAGCATTTTTCTGCTATGTCGTCTTTCCTATCTCAGCAGCCTAACCGATGTCTTACGGTTTGATGCTGAATTCAAATCCTGTAACATTATTGCTCACTTTACTGGCAAAAATGAAAGCTGGCAATGTGTGTTGCCACCTTCCTGTCTGCCCAGAGGACCTTTATTTAATCTCTTTGTGGGCAATCAGTTGAGTGCCCACGCTGTGGGATATGCCATGGGTCGCTGGTAATCCCCTTAACATTCCTCATTATTTACAAGCAACAGGGCTTTAAGTTTTGGCCTCAGGTGCAACGGCGAGTCGGTGAATGTGACCCGATAATCCCTGGCTGATTAAAGGCCATTTTACTGTAAAGCCGGAATTTGCAATGGGCTCGTAAATGTTTCTGACATCATGGGCACAAAATGGCTTTTCTTTGAGGCAAATTGAACTGTATGATGATGAATCTTTCATCTGTGAGAATCACTCGTTTAAGTGTTTAGCATGACTCAGTGTCTCAACTGATTTTTAGCTAAGTGAAAGGTAGAGAAATAAAACAGTATTTCTGTCTATGGCTAAAGTCAAGATCACAGGAGTTTTACTTACACAAAAATGTTCTGAGGGCAGAACGAAAAATGATTGGTTCAGAAAAATAAGGAATGAGATCGCAGAGGAGGCGGGTCTAAGCATCTAGAGGGGGTGGGACCAACCAATCAGATATCGTGCTTCCACCTCTTTTAGTCACTTATTCGATAATATAATTGGTTATCTCTCTGAAACAATCATTTTTTGCTCTGCCCTCAACATATTTGTGTAAGTAAAACTCTCACAAGCTAAAACAGGCTTGAAACAGCAGCCTTCCGATCATATGTCACACACCACCCTCCGCTTGATGGCTGGAAAAGAAAAAAGAACACAAAACAAGGGACCAATGTGCTGATATCATACAACAAAGACTGTGATTGGTTAAAGAAGTGAAAGGCAAGCCCCTCCCTTGTTGACCCAGTGACACATTGAACTTGGGAACATCAGGGTGTCCATTGCCTTTTATATCACCCTGCTGGGCTATAGCAGCCGATGGGGGAAAATGAGCCCCAAACTTTCTAATGGGGTTTAGGCTGCTGCATCAGCTGCTTATAGAAACTAAGAATCTCCCTGTAATCAAAGTCACAGTAGCAGCCACCAATCAAAACCTCATTCGGTACAATACTATCCATCAAAGGTGGTTATTACTATATATAATAAATTTACGAAGATATTATAAGTACTGCTCTGGAAAAAACATTCAAAGGTACGAAGAGCCACGGTGATAGTTGTTGCACATCTCCAAAAAAATGGAAGCAGCTTAGTCCCATGCAAGGTATAAAACTCTTTTAATTTTTTTTTTTCCAAAAAAGAAATGTACCTGACATGAGGACATGGAAAAGTAAGGAAAGCAGTCAGCTGTGCTGCTCGACAGAGCCGTAACCTTCCTCTCTCACAGTATTTGTGTTTGGCTGCTGTACATTTTTCTCTCGTTCACTGGTTCTGGTTTAAACAGAACAGAAGGTCGAACAGATCTGGGAAACCCACTCTAATGTACAAACAATACAGTGGTAGGTACTGTGCTTGTAAGCAGCCTTGTTGGGTCATTCGGAAGCTATTTCAAAACAGGCTACAGTTAAAGATGAGAAACTGATCTGGGGACAGATTAAGCAGGAACCATTACAGCCACCAACCTCATATTAAAGTCCAAGAAACACGGACAGATAATAACTCCAAACGCTTATGGCTTGTTTGTTTGCTTGTTTGTTTTTTTCTGGTTTTCTCGTGAAAATAAAATCTTAAAAATTTTCAGCACTGATTTCAGAAACAAAATGAAAACTTAAACACTCCAACTTTCTGTTCAGCTGGAGTGTTGCTCAGTGTGCCTGATAGGCTGTGCTGTTTATAGCGGCTGTTTTGAGTGTCACACAAGTAAACGTAAATTTATGAACAATTGAACAGCATGCATCTGGGCTCCTCTGCATGATAATTGTGTTTGTTGGGACTTTCTGCAGTTCTGCAGGCACTACGATTTCCACATGCTGTCCAAACATGCACATAGATCAACTTGTGTCTCTCAGTTATCCACAGTGTGTTTGTCTGCGTGTGTTTGTGCGTTTGTGTGTGAGAGAGAGAGTGTGTATAATTTTTCCAAAATGTGATAAAAACCTGTTATTTTGACATTGTGGGGACCATTTTTTCGGTCCCCACAAGGGGAAACTCAATTTTATAGAAATCTGTGACTGCAATCAAAAAGGTAAAAATGCCAAAGGTCTTGTATTTTTTTTTTGGTTACTTAAGCGGTTAAGGTTGTCATTGTTGGGATTAGGGTTATGCTCATAGAAATGAATGGAGAGTCTCTATAAAGTGTGAAGTGTGTGTGTGTGTGTGTGTGTGTGTGCCTGCGTGTGTGCATCGTGTGTATGTGAGAGAGCGTGCTCGCTCCTCCATTCTGTCTGGTGCCTTATCCCCTATACTTTTGAATGGACTCCATCCTAACTGTGAACCTGTACTGAAAATGTGGCAATGGGAGATGTAAGCAATACCACTTAGGCTATAAAAGGCCTTTTTTTGTTCTGTTTTGAAATTATTTTCTTCTACAATTGTAATAAGAAGATAAAACTATAGACTTTAATTAGTTTAGACTTTGTTTTACATTAATTTTAAAGTTAGTTTGTGTTTCAATTTATTTTTTAATTCTGTCTGGTATAAAATAATAAATAATAAAAAAAGATTCATTAACTAAAGATTATATATGCTTTCTATCTGACGTGGAAATGATGTGAAATGCCTGATATCCAGAAATGAATTTTGCTCCAAACACGAAATATAATAGGCTGTTGGCTTTTTTTCTGGCTTGATTTCAAAAGTCATTTTACAAATATGATTTCCTTTGAGTTATTTGAACGTAATGCGCAACCGTGGTAGTTCTGGTCATCAGGCCTGATGCAAAGTTCAGGAGTTCAATGAAGTGCAAATGTATTTGTCTCCGTGCCTGAAATGAAGATGCTGAACCGGATCCAGAAGCCTCTTATACACGCGGGGCTGTTGTCACATACGAGCACAGTAGAGGGGAGACCCGACAAAAGGCCTTTGTTTCCCGTGACTCCTATATTACTGTAAGTCAGGCAGCCACTCATTTTTCCTCAGCAGCTTTAGCCTTTTAGGAGAACATCTGGAAGCAATGGCTTTGAGCGTAAGGCCTGCCTGTGAATCCTGTGCTTTTTCACAGTTAGAGAGGTCCGGGAGGGTTCCAGAAGCATTAGAGATGCCGTGGAAAATATAAAGGTGGCAATTTATCAAGCGAATGCTGAAGAAACATCCAGTGCTGGGGTGGCACCCGATCATAAACGCATGTCTGCGAAGGGGGAGCCTCAGCCTGTGGGGAGGGGGGCTCTGGGTCCAGCATCTACACTCAGGTTTTAATGTGCCCCCCAACTCCGCCCCCCCATCCCCCCACCGTTCCCCAAATCTTGCGTTTTAAAGCAGGAGCAAGAGACGAGCTACACCATCCTGAGGGCCAAAGGCACCAACGTGACTCTGACGGGCCTGAAAGCGGACACCACGTACGCGGTGCAGATACGGGCTCGCACCGCCGCCGGCTACGGCAGCAGCAGTAAGAAGTTCGAGTTCGAAACCACCCCGGAATGTAAGTCCCTCTCCTTCACACTTATACAGTGTCTCCTACTAGGTAAATCTTCTACAGATTGCCATGATGTGAAGGGCTGTGCATGTATTACAATCTGACTGCAACCATTATCTTACGGATTCTAGCTAAGCTGTTGTCTCCGTCGTTAACGTGTTCAACATTAACAGCAGTTAGATGATGGATTCCTGCTGTTCTCCCATGTACCACTCTTGGCTCTGACAGCCCCGATGGACATGTGGAAATATAATGGCTGAGATGTTGCAGCTTGATGTCGTAAAGACTTTAGAGGCTGACGACTGAAGCAAAAATACATGCTGGAGTTTATTGGGGCACTCCACAGGCACGAGGGCCCCCGGGTGACACAAGGAAAGTGGAGCGCATGGAGCAGAGCGGCCCCCGTTTGGCTTGGCCTGACGCCTCTCTCGCTGCCCTCTCCCTCACAGCCTTCTCCATCACCAGTGAGAACAGCCAGCTGATCCTCATCGCCATCTGCTCTGCTGTGGTCATCATCTTCCTGACGGTGGTTGGCTACATCCTTGTTAGCCGGTTAGTGGCCTCATGCGCTCTCACACGACACTGACCCCCCCTAGGTGTTCTTAACTATCACAGTTAACTATTAGATTTACTATTATATTTGTCTGTGCTTACAAGATGGACCCAATGAGTAACTTCTGAAGCAAAGAGCTGATCTTCGCAGGTTGGAGTCTGTATCCAAAGGATATTTTGAGGCTGATAAGTTATGTTCTGGTTTGTAGTGTATCATTCTGCGTAATTCATAATTAACACTGTCTTGGCAGGTTTTGTGGGCACAGAAGATCAAAGCATTCTGACGAGAAGAGGATGAACTACGGAAACGGTCACTGTAAGCGCCACTGTTTGCGTGTTCTGTTGGTCCGTGTGGCTCTACTTTGCCGTATTATTTGAGTATATATGTATGCTGGGATCCAGGCATCCATGCTGTTCCTCTATCTCTAATAAACAAACTATATATAGAAAACCCAGAATTGGTAACAGATTTATGTTGCAAGAAATGCCCTAATCATCACAGTTATGTATGTTTATGTACTAATGTTCTTCCTTAAAATTGTAAAGCCTCATCAATTGGCTAGTTAGATGGGCATGAAAAAATTCTCCCTTGTACACAGATACATTTTAGTACCCTAAGCCATGGTGTCTGGGAATTACTGTAGTTGACTCGATCTATATGGTTTGTTTTCAGTGATACATTTAATGATCGTTCGTGTTCTGGTGTAGGTGTGACTATGTGTGATTTGTCATGTGTTACATTTCAGTGAGGCTTCCAGGCGTAAGAACCTATGTGGACCCGCACACTTACGAGGACCCCAGTCAGGCCGTCCATGAATTTGCCAAAGAACTGGACGCCTCTTGCATTGCCATCGACAAGGTGGTTGGTGCAGGTAGAAGACTTCATATACTGCCCTACACATACACCCCCCCCCCCCCCCCACACACACACACACACACACACACACAAAGACTTTCCACGATCCCTGATGTTTTAAGCAAGAGCCACAGGAACACATTGTTCTGAAAGAGACTCGAGTAAGTAATGCACAGAATAAAACAAAGAGCTATAACTCTTCTCTGAGCAGTTGCTTTAAACCTGTCATACATCACTTATTAGTAATTATTACCCACAAATCAGAATTTCCTGTCAGGTGTGTCTGCTCTTCAGGCCCCTGGCAGCTCTGAGTAGTTCAGTTCCTGGTGAATATAATAAGGCCGATATGCATTAATACACTTGGCAAAATTAAACTCACCTTGCAGCGTGTACGGCTGTGGCCCTGGAAACGCGGGGCTCCTATTCACGTAACAGCCTCTTAAAAATCCTCAAGAATGACAGGCTTATTCTTTACGTGTCATCAGCAAAACCACCCAGATCATTTCAGAAATCCGCTTATGAACTCTGTTCTTCAGAATTATATGATTCCAGAAACTTACCAACTTGCCGTAGGCCTAATTATAAAGCTGTAAACAACAACGACAGTAACAATAAAACAACAACAATATTAATAATAATATTAATAATAAAATAGCAGAAGAGGTAATTTTGGCAAATTGGGGCTCTTACAGTAATAAAAATGTCCCTGTGTGTTTTAGCATCTTGTTGACTGAGATCAAGGTTATGTGATCAAACACAAGGAACTGTAGCATCGCAAGAACATACATCGCCGCTGCTGTTTGCAGTTGTGCTGGCAACTTTCTTTATTAAGGTTTTTCAGACATTAGTAGCGCTGGTCCCAAAAAAACACTGTAAATGGTTACGCATGCGTCCTTGAAGCTGGACGCGATTCTGCCCGCGACGTGGCTGCTATGACATCATATCCAGTATTTTTTTTCCTTATTTGAAATCGGTGCCATTGCTCATTCCGCTGAAGTGCTCGCCCGTGAAAAGGCTGCATGACCTAAAATACTGCAGGGATTGCTCTTTCTGAACCAGAGTATAATAACTGGCAGGATCACTTTCCCTGTATTTGCATGAGAAAACGACACAAGAGAAATAACCTCATGCCTAATATGTCAGGGTTTTATAATCAATGTCAATTCTGTAGGCATCCAGAATGCGTAAATCATGTGGTCGATGTTCTAATTCCTCACACACAGCGCTGTAATCTCTTTAATGCATCTGCTGAGAAAACTTTTATGCTTTTGATGTCGCTGAAAATGAAGAGCATTGTTTACATGCTGTTGCCTTGCAGCCAGAGTGGGGTAGCTCCCTCCGTTTTTGCCTTCTTAAAAGCCCCTGGTCTCCTTCTGCAGGTGAATTCGGTGAGGTGTGCTGCGGGCGCCTAAAGCTGCCCTCTAAGAAGGAGATCTGCGTGGCCATCAAGACGCTGAAGGCGGGCTACACGGAGGAGCAGAGGCGGGACTTCCTGAGCGAGGCCAGCATCATGGGCCAGTTTGACCACCCCAATATCATCCGGCTGGAGGGAGTGGTCACTCGCAGTAAGTGCCCTTCCTGGCTCTGCACTCTTTTCTTTTAAATGCCCCCTATCTGAGATTTTATCCGGCAGTCTTGCCTAAAAGTAATTTTTCACTTTAATGCAAACAGTGTTTGCAATAGACATATTCCCATTTGTGAATGATTCAGCATGGAGATGGAGGAGATCATACTTTTACCAGTAAGTCAGCGCGCCCCTCCGGTGCTCCTCTTTCGTTTGGGCCTGGTTTCCATTAGCTGCCAGCAGTTATTTTCCTGTTGTTTGCTCAGTGCCAGATCTATATGAAAATCACATTTATTAGGTTTAAAAGTTCCAGTGATTTAGTACTGGGTATTAGCAGACAAAATAAATAAATATCATTAAGTTGGCTGATATCTATATTTTTTATTTATATATATATATATATATATATAATCTGCTTTTTATTAAGACATGTTAGCCTTTATACAAGAGACACAGCTTCTTTGTCTTCCACTGACAGTTTCACCGACATATTAATATTTATTTTGGTTGTGTGTACATGCCTGTGTGTTTTAAGTGTGTCTCTTATTGAACTTTACCTCAACCCTGCCCTGCTCCAAGATAGTTAAATGGCAGTCTCTGTTTAGCTTTCCCCGTGTAAAATATGCAGGTGCACATATACTCTTCCCTTTCAGCAATTTACAGCTACCGCCTATTTCAAATGAATATATACAGAAAAGAATCTTAACAAGTTAAGACAGCTGAAATTGCTATTAATTCTGGCTTACGTTTGTAGCGGTGCATGCGATCTTAAGAAATCAGCAGAAGTAATCCTGGAACCTGTTGGGAATATTAAGTCTACGTGCTGCTTCACAATAAAATATCCTAGAACAGTGAGTTTTGATGGTTGTTTAACTACTCTTTTCTATGTGCATTTAATTTAATAGTGCTTTACTGAAGCAGTGCTTTTATCTCGACCAGTAGTCGCAAAACTGCATTAGTGTGATCTATGGATAGGACATATGATTGTGCTTTAACAAGTTTAATTTGCTTCTTTGTAATTGTGTATTTATAGTTTATTTACATTTTGTAAAGTATTCAATGTTTTGCAAAATGTGTGTAGTTATTGATTTATTTATTGTTGAGTGAAGGGAAATAAATAGATTTTTTTTTTTTTATCAAATAAAACATACACCATTGCATTACTAAAGTTTGAACGCTGAACAAATAAACATGAAGCATAATTATTTGTAACGGCAGCTCGGTTGTCCTCCCAGGATACGGTTTGGGAGGTTGGGGGGGTGGGGGCCGCGCTGACCCGCGCTGCGCGCGCGTGATGAAAAGCAGCCCCAGTTGCCGTGGGGGTTTCCGTGCGACTCGCGTGGCCTGCACTTTGCGTTGCACATGGACTGAGCCCGAGATAATTCTGAATAATCCTCCGATTTTTCACACTTCATTTACTCTGCTGCTTTTGGCCAGAGCTTTGCCCAAACATCTCTGCTTTGCGGGGCACCTCCGGCTGCGCTAGAGCTGATTATGGGCTTGGGTTTGGGATCAAAGGGTTAAGGCAGTGAGGGGTTCGTGAGTTTACTGTTATTGCTGAACCTGTTAAGGTAGTCTACTGATGTACAGGGGCAGATTCATCAAGGCTTTCGGAGAGGGGGGGTATTATTCCAACCCAGATGATCTTGTGGCATTTAAGGCAACCACAAAAGCGACCAGGGCCATAAACCTTGTCAGGACAACAGAAAATAGAACCTTTGGGCCTGATTTAACTTATGGACAGTTTCTCTGAGCTCAGTTAGGCCATTGTGACAGTGCATGCCTGGAATTTCTTGAACCTCTGCGGCTCCATACACATCCTCTTCTTAAAAAGGGCGGAACCTTTTCTCCAACACTTCTTTGTTACGAGCGCTGAGCTGCTTCTGCTGCAATGTTGCAGGCGAAGCGTAGCTCCAGCTTGGCAGCCTTTTCCTGGGCGTGTCCCAGAAGCGCTGAGCAGGCAGGGGTCCCGCCAGCGAGCAGCCTGTGAAAAATGCCGCTCTTAAACTTAGTGTCTTTTATAACACCCATAGGTAGGTATCCGGATAGGACTCCATAAATCCAGCACAAGTAAAACACTCGTCATTTTAAATGGACTCATTTATATACAAACAGACAGTTACTGTGCTGTAACAATATAGGACTTTTATTCAGCTATTTTAAAGTTTATTACTCTTAATATCATAAAAATGATATATATACTCTAAAACGCATTGTGTTTTTTAGCTACTATGCTTTTCAGCTAAAAGAATGAGATGTAAAATATGACCCTGGTCTAATTATAATTCTTTCTCCTCTAATTTCTCACCTCTGTCCAGTTTGTAGCAACAGCTTGTGTTTTACTGTAACACAGGTCATGCATTCATCCTTTGTCTGTTATTTTGTATAGATTAAAATTGTTGTTTAATAGCTACCAACACAGCAGTAAAGTGCCGTCATTAACAACAATGACATGAGAAATACTTAACCTAAACAATACTGAAATAATTTATATAGAGATGTTGTGGCTGAAATTTTAAGCAGATAATGTTCATGTCTGTTAATTGTCTGTCAACTTATGCCTATATGAACAAGTAGCACAGAAATGTAGTATGTATACACAATGAAAGGTGAAAACAAAAACAAAACAGTTCCTCTATCATTTAGCTTTGTAACAACTAAAGTTCATAACCATGAGCCGTTGTCTTCTGATATCATCATGACCTTTGCGGAGAACCTCTGTTCACATAAGTAAATGATTGATTTTCATTGTGCTTAATACTGGCAGCAGAAGCCATGTGTCCAAAAGGAGTGGGATCATTTCCTAAACCATTAACTTTTCTGAAAGGTATGCTGTCATCGTTTTTAAATCTTTTTAATTAGTTGTGGAATTGTCCATTACGTCCCAGTGACTTGAGCTTCTGGGACATTTAAATAAGAGCAATAATATGTACATTGTCAAATTGTAAAATCTTCTTTATGTGTGCCGTGCCAGGTAAACCAGTAGTGATAGTGACCGAGTACATGGAGAATGGATCACTGGACAGCTTCCTCCGGGTGAGTACGTCTCTGCGGTAGTTTGTGGAGATCGCTTCGTGCGAAATGAGAACGCCCCACTCTCGGGCGTGCGCGCTAACTGAGCCAACGCTACGACGTCGCCTCCTCTGTTTCGAGATCACAGGAGTTGTGTTGCTAATGTTAGCCAAGAGAGCTAGCTTTCTCTTTGTTCCTCTTTTGATTTCTTTAATTGTGTTTTTTTCCTCATTGTGAAACATCAGAAGAATAAATTCCCAGAAATCTCCGGCAGAGTTGCCTTGTGTCACAATGCTTGTGATAAGCGCATCCTTTGGTTTTCGAATGTAACCGGATACGGGTTATTGCTGGAACCGCTCTGGGCCTTAGAGCCCTCGCCGTCCTCCCACTGCCCCCAGTCCTGGAGGAGCTTAACCCTTTATAGCCCAAACTGCCGCATCTGGCACTGACCACGCCACCCAGGGACAGATCAGGGAATTCACTCCCTCAGCTTCCTGATCACGGCACAGGAGGGCTGCGTCTGTAACCTTTGCTATGTGGCACTTTCACTCCGGTTGAAAAGCACAGCTAAGTACAGCTGCAAAGAAATAAAATCAAGCGGTCAGGAAAGGCCTGTCCAGCAGTGGGCCAGCCAACAGCATGTGTTCCACAGGAAGGGGGGGGGAACTCAGGCTTGATCCCAGGTGTGCTGTGTGAGGGGGGGTGCAGAGAGTGCATACCAGGTCACTTTTTTATTGGGTGGGCCAGGCACACCAGTGTCTCTCCCTCCCGTTCCACCGCTCCAATGTGAGCCTTATTGTCTCATGGCCCCCTCTAGTGCTGGGGGTGGATTCCAGTGAACAGCAACCCCCCCGAAGCATGTTACACTCCTCAGTGAAGCCCCCACAGAGTGCAAAAATGCAGGGTGTCATCCCAGGAATTATTGTGAAATGTAAAAGTGCACAACGGAATATGAGAAGTCAAGAATATCTGTGTATTCATCAGACATTTCTACATTCTCTGCTCTGCTCTTTGTGCTGTCTTTTGCCTGTAGACATTCTTTGTTGTCAGGATTCAGACCCAGTGCACGTTTCGGTTCATTAGATATTACAAATAACTGAAAAAGCAGGAGCTGCTTATGATTTAAAAAGCAAGTACTCATTGATGCAAGCAGACTTGATGGTGGCTTGACAGTGCTTTTAAAAAGATGGATTTTGAGGCTTGTCATTGCAGATACATTTTTATTTATATTTATTTTATGCTGAAGAATAAGCATTATATTAATAAACATCAGAAATATCATATTACAACTCAGGGGAGAGACCATATATATCCCCCTTTCAGCAGCCACTCAGTATCTGCATTTTTTGGTATTTTATTAACTTTCAAAGTAAAATTAAAACCATCATCTACATACTGAAAGTATTGGCTGTGCATACTTTATCTAAATTGCATTATTTATGTTTTTTATCATTATTATTGGTTTGTGAGGCAGCTTTTTGTATAGCGCTTCAGGCTTTCTAACAGCGCTATAATTGCTGAAGGAGTTTAGATTGTGGTTCCTGCTCACAGGGGCAAAATAAACACCATTCAAGGGGTCTGAACCTAGAGCTTTTTAATCATAAAACCTGGAAACAGCCCAGTTCCAATGGCAGCATACAGATGACACACAGATCTCCACAGTTTTTATATCAGACTAAGAATGGATTGCATATGAAACCATTGCTGTTATATAAAGGGAGGTGCTATAGTTTAGTGCAGATCTGGTTGCAGAGAAGAGGACGGTTAAGTCTGCATTGCTGGTTAATGTCTTCTAGTCTCTCTTCTCCTGATTGCCAGTTCCATCTCAGTCTTACACACTTTTGTGGATCAGTAATGAAAGTATTTAGAACACTGCAAGTGCCCTTGTTTATTTGCCTTGGTATCGTTAGTAATATATATAAACACAAAGGTTACACCAGACAACAGTGTTTCCTTGAATTGGTCACTTACAGCTGTGTTACAGTACTCTGCGTTTTTTTTTTTCTTTTTTCTTTGAGCAAGGTCCTTAAACCTAGCTGCTCTTGGTACGGTCTGACCTTGCTCTCTCATGAAAACTGTTCATGCGTGCCGCTTTTAGCATCTGATAAATAAATGCAAGTAAATGTGAATAATGTGTGATGATCTTTAAGTTGATTAATGTGTATGGGTCTGTCGCTATGTCTGTTCAGTGACGCCCCTGTTAATGAACGTTTCCACTGCAGAAGCACGACGCCCAGTTCACAGTGATCCAGCTGGTGGGCATGCTGCGCGGCATCGCCTCGGGCATGAAGTACCTCTCCGACATGGGCTACGTCCACCGGGACCTGGCCGCTCGCAACATCCTGGTCAACAGCAACCTGGTGTGCAAGGTGTCCGACTTCGGGCTGTCGCGGGTGCTGGAGGACGACCCGGAGGCTGCCTACACCACCAGGGTGAGCAGGACAGAGCAGATCTTCACCTCCACAGACGGCACCCACATGCTTCTGCGAAAGCCACACGTAAACCATGTAACTGAACCCACGGAATGCTCTGCTTTGTCGTAAATGAGGCGTTTCTTTGTTTATGAGCAAATTCAAATGAGCAAATCCTTTGATATTCTCTTTAGCGTTTGATTGCTGAGGACTTCAATCAGTCAACATTGTTTCTTGAAAAATGAGTGCTAATTTCAGCCTTTGCACTTACGTATTACCGTGCAATGTGAACTAAACTTTGTAATACACACACTCTTTGTTAGTCCTTGCTTCATTTGAGCAACATTTAGCTTTTTCTGAAAACAATTCAAATAATAAAAAAAACATAATAAATCTATAATGAGAATTTAATCTAACATGAATTATATTTGCTACATTTTATACCTTAATATCAAGTCAACTGCAGTGCCTCCTTCACCAACGACATTTTTACGAAGTGGGGGTCAGAACCACCTCCTCCTACCCCCCCAGTACCATTAGCGCTGAGGGAGCGCAGGCGGTGCGGATGTCGATTCCTACGTTAACGATCAGTGATCCCGCTGCTTGCAGAGAACGGGCTGCTTGCCTAAGCTCACGTGGGAAGGGCAGGACACCAGCAGGTTTATTTTTTTGAGGGCCTGTATATTCAGAGCGAGGGAGCCAGCAGTTTGACTTGGCTGGGGAGCCGGTTAGCTTTGGCTGCTGGCCTCTCCCTGTTAGTATGACGACTGGGAGCTGAGTAACTCCAGCAGCCTTGCAGAGCTCTCCTCCGAGCAGAGTAAATACAGCTTTTCCAGTGGGAAAGTATGGCGAGCAGGTCCAGCCCTGAGCGCCTCTTCCAGAGCCAATCTCGTTTGTTCTTTATTGCTTATTAATGTTTCTGCCATTGCATTTTTCTGTATAACGGTGCATTTGTTGCGTAAGTCTAAATATTTGTTCTCTGGCATTCCCCATTAAATGTTCTGCGTTCTCATTTCTGGGATCACTCCTACCTTGGAATTGTGGGTAGTTAGTTGGATGGCTTCAGGACGTAGCAAGTTTTATATAAGCAGTCAGAGATGTGGTCAGATTCATAGCAGCAGATGACCTGTAGTCACCAGACGTGTTTATAATAGACTCCCTTCATGCTGTACAGTTTTGACATATGTAGGTACGTTTTATACTTCAGTGTATTAAAAGCATATTCTTTTCCAGACAATTACAATACATTTGGAATTGAAACATTTTTAATTATTCACAATAATCTGGCTGCTAGCAAAAAATGAGTCTCCCTTTAAATGATGTGATGAATGATATTAAAATATATAGTTGTGAAACAGCTTTAGCTCATTTTTGTATAACCCTCGCGTGCCGAAATCATGGTCTGTTGAGCGATCTTTTGTCTTTTGAGATGACATTCTAGAGCCGTTGTAAACAAAATGAGCATCGGTATTACTTTCAAGGCCCTTAGGGGGCAGTGTCAGGTGTCTTATTTGGCTGGAAAAATCATTAAGTACGTACCCCTGGCAGTGCAAGATTTTTGACAGTCTGAGAAAAAAGTTAAAGGGAAAAGTAGCTGATGGGATATCGCTGATGTCACTCCGCAGGGTGGCAAAATCCCAATCCGGTGGACAGCGCCAGAAGCTATCACGTATCGGAAGTTCACGTCGGCTAGCGATGTGTGGAGCTACGGCATCGTACTGTGGGAAGTGATGTCGTATGGGGAGAGGCCCTACTGGGAGATGTCCAATCAGGACGTGAGTACATCGCTGTTAACGAGGGTTTCTGCACGACACGCAAGTCAATCTCCAGTCTCATGCAAAGCCAAAGTGAAATGAAAGGATGAACAAATACAATCCGAACATTTTTTAAGTATTACTTAAAAATGTAAAGGGGGTCGACTGAAAATTTAGACCTCGTCTTCTGCCTGTGCTGACTAGGCCATCTGTGACTTTCAGCAGTTTTTTTTGCAACATCTGCATTATGACGTATTTCGTCTTAGAGTTTATAGCAGTTTATTTAGTCTGAGGTAGTCAGTCATTGATAAGGCAACGTTGAAAGGCAAAATGAAGAACATGATATTTATTATGTCATTAGTTAATCATTTCAAGTTCTTTTAAACAAAAGAAGAAATTGAATGTTTGGCTCCCAACCAAATCTGCTCTTAGGCTGTTATGTAGGGGAGCCTATTCCATTATAACTGATTTACAATGTTTTATGCCCCTTGGTGTATAGTGAGGGCAGTATAAATTAATAAGATGAGAATAAGAAAGATTAAGAATAACATTGAATACGATGCCAATAGGCGCTAGCTGAAGGTAACCCATGTCGCTGACCTGACCGCCGGTCACTTGGTGCTCAGGTGATCAAGGCAGTGGAAGAAGGTTTCCGCCTGCCGCCCCCCATGGACTGCCCTGCGGCTCTCTACCAGCTCATGCTAGACTCCTGGCAGAAGGACCGCAACAACCGGCCCAAGTTCACCGAGATCGTCAGCTACCTAGACAAGCTCATCCGCAACCCCGGCAGCCTGAAAGTCATAGCTAACACCACCTCGAGGTACGCGGTCGCCCGCTCGCCCTGGACAGGGACACATTCCGCACTCTCTGCCTCCTACGGCGTCGCTTAGCCCACAACCACCTGCTCAACTCAGGGGGGACGAGCCCTGGATCGCTTTGTTCCCACATCGTAGCGTCACACATTGTGCAATAGCGTCCAACAAGGAGAGGAAATGGTTTCTGGTCCACTGAGACTGATCTGTCCCTTGTTACTATATGGCAACACTTTCTCCTCTTAAACAGCTGGCCTCCTTTAATTGGGTTTGACTACCACAGTGACCTATATACGAGTTTATAACTTAATGCCTTTTTCCCATTGGCAAACAAAAAGACGTTTACATTGACAGTTACTGGCTTTCTCAGAATTACCTTTCAAACATGAAGAATAAATTTAAAACATATCTGACGCTATCAAAGTGTTTTACTGCAGCTATTTATCCGTTTGGCTCATATCAGTTTTATATGCTGTACTGTTCTAAACGAAAGACTTTGTGTGTAGTTGAGCGTGTAGCATAGACGTCTGTATTTATTCATGTTCCAATAACTATTGATGAAAAGAAACAAAATGGTTATTATGTGCACTGGAGGGGAAGGGAAACAGTCATTAATCAGCTCGAATGCCAGATTTATGAACGAGTGAGTCTCCTTCGGGGAGAGGAATATAATTGTATCTAGCATGTGTTTATTATAAGATTGCAAATTGTATTAATTGTAGTAATAGTATCTTACCCAGCTACCCAGCTTGATAACCGATAGATATGAAAAACTATTAAACACTTTACTTGACGGGGCACAAATAAAATAGTATTATGCTATTACTTATGTATTAAGTAACCATAAACTAAGTCTTAGTTTCAGACTAATCTCATGTTAATTCATCATTAATGAATTGTAATGCATGTTGTGTCTCAAGCAGTTACAATATTTGTTACTATATCTGTTAATTCTGTAATCCTTTGTGAACTACTGGCAGAACTACTGAAGGAACGAGTCATGAATAACGCAAATCAAATACTGACCTTATGTTTGTTCATTATTACTGAATAGTGACATCTTTTTTCAAGTAGCGACTGTATCTGTTCATGATTTGTTCATGATTTGTGTCTGAGTTATTACTAAGTATTTCTGACCCTTTCAAGTAAAGTGTTACCTAGTAGGACGATTATTTGCCTAATAGCAGGTTAATTGGGGAAGTTCTAAAAGGTCAAAATTATAATTGGTTAAAATAGATGAATCACAAATGCTCATTAATTTTTATGCTTGGTTTATTTGAAGTTTTTCTTTGCTGTATTTCCTGCAGCCAGAACAAGTGATGGCAAAATGAAAAAATAATAATAATATTGATGTGCTCCGTATGACATATCTGTAGATGATTCATTTAAACTTTTGCTCAGTGTGAAGATTATTAAAATGTCAAAAAGACACCACCTAAACAGGTTTTGTTCTGTTATGGAATTTAATTCCAGGGTCTAAGTTTTTACTTCAGAAGATTTTATTTCAAGGATTCTGCTTATTGTGCAATATATGGAATATTATACACAGCTCTGCATATTCGTATTTTCCCCTTGTCTGGTTTTCTGCATATTTGCATATCTGACACTGAATGTTAGCAGATCTTCAGTCACGACCTGAATTATATAAAAGCGAATGAGAGCTCCCTGATTACTGCTTGTGGCTCAGAGGGTTTGGATCATGTGTCTCTGATCAGAAAGTCCAACGTTCAAATTCTTGCATTGTTAGAGTGATTTGTCTGTTGTGCCCTTGAGCAAGGCCCTTAATCACAAATAGTTCAGGGACTATCTGACCCTAGCTTCTGAAAAATGTATTTAACATTAGAACATATGCAAATTAACAGTAACGATAAAAAGTAAACCAGAATTTCTTCTGTTCTCCAAAAAATCTCTCCTCAGTGGCACCCCAGCCATTCTTTGGATTTGTTGCATACCACCACCAGCTCTCTTACTCAGTTAAATAACTCAATGAGGTATTGATCTGCCAATAAAGGTGGTGTAGTGGTTGAGTGAAATAATTCATGGGGGTATTGGACAGTTGCTGCAAATACTGGGGTGATTTTAGGAGCGGCTTTGAAATGGTTAAGCTGACAGACTTTGACAGATGTAGTTTTATTGCAACATCATAGCTTTACACCAACGTTTAAACGTTAAAGCATCATTTATTCCAGGGCTGCCCAACCCTGCTCCTGGAGAACTGCCACCCTGCAGAGCTTAAGTACAGGCCTAATTTAACACACCTGATACAGATAATCAGGCAGTTCAGTATCACCTCAGTATTAGAGTCAGCTATGTTGAAGTTAAGCTGGTTCTCATACTGAGGTAAAACTACATACACACACACACACACACACACACACACACACACATATATATATATATATATATATATATATACACACACACATGATGGAAAATAACTGATGATGACATAATAAAGCAAGAGTATCTAAATCTACAGGCTGAATTAAAAAATGACATTAGACGAGCTAAAAGGAATGTCGAAAGGAAGATCNCTATTAGTTAAGTTCTCCCCAAGCGAGCTCGATGGGCCGAATGGCCTCCTCTCGTTTGTATAGTTCTTATGTTCTTATGTTCTTACAGTACTGTGCAAAAGTCTTTGGCATTCAAAGAAAAAGTAGCTTAAATGATCTTAACTTTGGTATAAGACTATGATGTATAAATTTCATATAATTTCCAATATTTATTTGTTAATACAGTTATGGAACAGCTGATGCTCCAGAATGTAAAAACAATATCCTCAAATGTTTTACCTCCTTTCTCATCAGTTGCTGAAACCTGGAACTTTCTGTATGTATTGATCAGTCACATAACATAGGGGAACCTCAGGCACCTTCCCCTGTGATGGTTCTCCACCTAGGATTCGATGCAGTAAAATCATGCCAAAGCACTATGGCCACCACACATGACCACAGGTTTGAGGTTTTGACCTTGTGATGGCTAAGTTGCAGTTTTGCCTCATTTATCTGCAGAAGATTGTTTCACAAATCCTCAGGATTTTACTGGTACTTTTTAGCAAACTTGACGGGAGCATTTATGTTCTTACTAAGAAGTCATTTTCAGTTGTGTCGTATCCGTTTCTGGGTGTTGCCTTTGTGGAGTCACATACACCCATCATGGAGACAGAGGCCTGCCGAATTTTGTATGGATTTTTTGTGACTTCCTGGACAGTTTTAGATCATGAGATATTTCAGCCTGAAGGCTCTGATGGTGCTTTGGTGGAGCGCCAGTGACTTTGAAACTGGAAGGCTTTGTACATACTTCCAGACTGATAGGCATCAACAACTTTTTTGTTTTTTTCCCAGAGTTCTTCAGGAATGTTTTTTGATTGGTGCATGATGTGCCTTATCTGAGTGCTGACAACTTCATACTGCCCATAAGGGCTGAGGTTAGTCAGATTTATATCGGAGGGGGCTGCTCCAAATCAGGCCTGGTTATTCACCAAAGCATTTAACCAACTGAGTTATCCATTTCTATGTTATCTTCCGCTAGCCTAATACTACTCCAGGTTCCCCAGATGCACTTAATGTTGCACTTTCTGCTGATTGAGTATTATGACTTATTAGGTTTGTACTATGTTTGAAAGCAGTGCATAGCTCTAGCTCCCATGCTATTCACTGGAAGCTCTGCCTCACTGCGCTCTGCCTCGCTGACTCCTTGACAGCCATATGGTTGTAATGTGTTATTTGCCTCATTTTTACGTCACCTTGGACAAAACCAACTGCTGAATGAAATCAATGTAACTGTATTTGGGATGAGGGGGATTAACAATAACTTTACCCCTGAATATTACGTGTTTATCAGGCATTGCACTCAATTTTAGGACCTTGCCAAGGATGGGCTTACAAGGCCGAATTTTATTTATATTTTTTTCCACAACGACCACCAAGTTATGCAGCATCTGGGCTAAGTCCTGGACATCCTTTGACCTAATATACCAGATCCGAGCAAATATGAATATTTCAAAAATATGTTTAAAAAAATATTGAAAATCAGGCAGGGGGTAAATACCCAGCTGGGTTAATCAAATGTATTGCGTTTGCTTTTTCCTGTTGTGAAGAGCTGTTGAAAACATCTCCCTAGTGTGAACAGCAACAGCAAGGGTATTGGGAAATGGCGAAGCAGAAATCCGGCTCTGTGGCGTATGACTGTTGTAAAATCACATTTTTTATGAAAAGACACCCAGCAGTATCAGTCAACAGATTGCTTTCTTGAGATTTAACATTTCCGCTGGGTGGTGCATTTTCTCCATAATGACGCTTCCAGCGTGATGGAAGAAGCAACACGTGTTTCTGTGATGTGGGTGGGCCTTAGGGCTGGGGGAGGAGCTTGCCATGGTTGGTAACAAATAACTTAGTTACTCAGTCACTATTCAAGTACAAATTATGGGCTAATGTAGTTGCTGTATGAAACACATGAAACATCATGATTGATTAATGATGAATGAACATGGGACCAGTATGTAACTAACACTTAGTTACTGGTCAATTAAGGCATTAAGTAAGCATGTAACTGCTACATGATTTGACCCAGGTTGCTTTACTTGAGGGGACATGAAAAATGTAGTAATTCACACTCACTTAATCATCAATTAACCAGTAACTGAGTGTTAGTTAAGTACTGATTCGATATTCATTCATCAGGAATCAATCATGACAGTTCATGTATTTCACGAGGAAACCCATAATTGGTTCATGATTTATTCTTGAGTAGTAAATGAGTTAAGAAATTTGTGCCCCCTCAAGTGAAGTCTTACCATTATTAACTAAATAGTTAACTGCTAGCTAATAGTGTCTGAATGGAATACATGAACTGTCACGAATGATTAATGATGAACAACCATGGGATCAGTATGTATCTAACACTGAGTTACTGGCTAATTAATGCATTAAGTAAGTGTGTGGTACTACATTGTTCATGTCCCCTCAAGTAAAGTGTGACCAAAGTGCTACCCCTTGATTTGTAAATCAGGTTTATTTCATGTCAAGCACTGAGAGAGGACTCTATGGCTGCATGCTATGTGATCCAGCATCCTCCCAACTAATGCCCCCCCCCCCCCCCCCCAGGCCTCCCAACCTCCTGTTGGACCGTACCAGCGCTGATGTCACGACCTTCCACACCATGGGCGGTTGGCTGGAGGGTGTGCGGAAGGTGCCTTGCCACGATGCCTTCAGCGGGGTCAGCTACAGCTCCTGTGACACCATGGCCAAGACCTCCGCCCAGTAAGAAGCCCCCTTCTGCAGTATAGCTTAGCACTGTTTCACGATCCGAAAGCTTATTCGCTCCAAACCAGAGCAGTAAGTACCTAAAACATACTAGTCTGAGATGTGTTCGATACCCCTTTATTTAGGTCGATACAGCAAAATGCAGTCATCCAGGACTGGCCCAGATTGTCGACACTCTATAATGAAGATTTCTGTAATAGTAACACTGAGTATCTCCTTACCATGAATATAGTTTCACTGGTACTGATTAATTAAGGTTAATTGCTTAAACAAATTTGGATGAATCTTACCAAAACATTAGTTAGTTAGTTCAAAATATGACCTTCATATCTTTCATATCTTTCATAATGGTTTGCTTTTGGGCCTTTTAGCTTGTTTCATTTGAATTTGTTTTGTTATTCAGCAAATGCTCATTTTACCTCCCAAGTTTGCTAGTTGCTTGCTCCATCCTGTTTATCCTTGTGTTCAGTAGTTTCAGGAGTCCAGTTTTCCCAGCCTGTTAAAGCACAAAAGCTCTTTGAATCAAGTAGAAAAATAAATGACTTGCATATGTTTATGTGGGCCTAATATTGTGGAAAGCCTTTAGCAGTAATTAGAAGAGGTCAAATGAGACACAAATAAGCAAGGGACAGTTTCCCAGAGACTGTTTTCCAAACTGCAGACATCCATGATCTCTTCTACCACCATGAAAAATGAAATCGGCGTCCATCAAGTTTGTTTTTTGTTTTTTTCTTCTTTTTTTTTTATGTGGGAGTTCTGTTTTGATTTAAAACAGTAATGACTGCACTTAACTATGTCTACTTCTGTTCCTAGTCCAGCAAAAATATAAAAAAGAAGGACTTAAATAAAGCTGCAGTATTGACAGAGTCAGCTGCCTGCACACCGGCTGGCAAATTGAATCCAGCAGCTCCTGTACTTAAGGAACTCGACCGATTCCTGCAAGCTTCAAATAATAACCCCCGAAATCCCCTTTTATCCCGTTGATCGGGGCTTTTGAGTTACACTGAGCCGTGGCTTGCTGGAGGATAACTCACAGCACCGCTCTCTGGGGACCCGACATTCTGCTTAATTGATTTTGACAATTTACTGTGAATGATTTGACGATTCAGAGCCTTGTTCCTGGGGCACCAACTGGACTAAATGTGGCAAGACCTTAACACAGAAGCCATTAACATTTATTGCAATTGTTTTTCTTTTTGTTCATATAGGTAAATAACTTAAAGCCAGAAGCAGTAATTGTTCTCTCTCTGACCTATGAACCTGTTCACCCTAAAGGACCGTTATACTGTAATGTGCTAAGTGACTCGTGTGTTCAGCCAGCTGACATAAAAGTTAATCTTAACAGTTAAAATCTTATTATAAAATAAACAACAATTTAAGCTATTCTAAATACTGTTTCTAGTTACAAATTGCATTAAAACTATGAACAATATGTTGCATAATTGCCTGTGTTTGGAACTCATTGAATAAACCAGATTCATCTGGCTAACCAGCAATATGCTTCTTTTGGATCAAATCATTTTCATCTTCATACAGTATACTGCTCTAGTGTGTATTACTTTTGTGTGCAGTTAAACGTAAAAACAGTTGACACTGGAGTATCGACACATAATAAAGTAGGCAATTTAGTAACTCACATGAACTATTATTGACTAGCGATCAGCATTTTGCTGAAACAGCATGGCTTAGTGGAGGAAGTAGGGGAATAATCGCTCTTCTCAGTAGACACCCATTGTCCATTATCTAGATGCTTGACCATCGCCAAGCATCCTCATGCCTCTTAGTGTAAGCTATGATTCAGCCAGCACAGTAAACAGAGAGTATGGAAGGCCGGGGCCATGTCGCTGTCAATCTAAAGGTTTACTTTGTCCGTAGAATCTGCCTGAGCGATGTAAGGCCCGCAGCGTCATGCCCTGAATGGGAGCCGTCCATGGGAGTTACCACCCTCTAACTCCAACAGGCCCGACGGTGGGTTCTAGACCACGGCTCACTGTGCCCGTGAGCTCCGAGCGCCAGAGCCAAAGTCACACCAAGCGCACAGGAGGGCTGTGCTTCTACTAACATAGGTCTGCTTACACTAATGTGCTGTGTTAATGTCTCTGACCAGGGAAGGCTGAGCCCCACTGGGCAGCCTCAGTGTCGTACTGTAGCCTTTGCATAACATACTAACTCCGTCCAGATCATTTCTCAATTTCCTAGACATCACCTGACATTTAAAGATTTCTGTGGAACATTCAGTGTCTCTTATTTTAATGGTTTTCATATTTGTGCATGCAGTTAATGCATCTATAGGGTAAGTTTGTGAAGAAATGTAACAGCTGTAAGTTTATAAATGCGTTTACTGCATGAAACTAATTTGATGAGTGTCCTGGTCACATGGACCTCAGTTTATGTAGTACTGTTCCACTCACCAGCACTGAAGTGGTTTAACAGCTGTTGGAGATCAGTGTATGTAAAACGTGATGGCATTTCTCCAGGGTGCAATGCATATACAGCAATAATCTACAGTGACGTTAAGGTGCTATTAATTATTTCATTGGATGTCCTCATATTCCCACCACGTTCAGGGATTCAAAGGTTTAAACAATTCTCGTGTAGAATAATTAAACCCTATTATGTTTCTGAAATGGGAGATTGTACTGAAAATAAACAAATAAATCAAAAATGAAGTAGCGTGACAGAAATATGACCACTGCAGTATGGGTTAGCAAGAATGATAACATTTCTTTTTCCTTCCATTTAATTTAACTTCTTTTCATTAAACATTTGTTTTGCATTTAAAACAACAAAATGACATCATGGAACAAGCTTGCTTCAGGAATTTGGGGAACACAATAGATTGTTGGGTAACATCTACATGCACCCTGTTATGAACTTTTACTAGTATGGGAGTACATTTAAAACACCAGATATTTAATAACAGTGCAGTAACATTTAACCGTTTGGCTAATTAAAGCTGTATTTTGCAATGATGCTCAGAATGACTGCTGCTCTCCTGAACCTACTTTAAAAAGGTTTGAGTTTATCTAACAAAAATGTTTGTTATAATTACAAAAAACATTTTAGTAAGAGTTGTAGCTGTTTTTCCTTTTCCTGTGACACTTGATATGAGAGGATATTTTAGCGCTGAGGTGTGGAGGTGTGGAGGTGCAGTGGTGCGTGGGACGCGTGTTCTCTATCATAGGATGACACCTCTCTGTTTCACAGGGACTTCTGCGAAGTTGGTATGACGATCACAGAAGCTCAGATGAGTGGCATCAAAACCCTCGAAGCTCACGGCAAGAACGGCCCCAGTTCCCGCGTCAATCTGTGAAAGGAAAGAAGGTGAAGCGTCGGAGTCAAAGGCCGAAAACGAATGATAAACGCTATGATATTTATGCAGATGGCGGCTTCGTAGGATACTGTCCCACCACCCAGGGCTTAGGGAAGAGTGACGCCCCTCCCCCCAGTTCCCTAACCCCGCCCCCAGACATTCCGGTCACTTGTGTGATGTATTAACAGAAAGAGAGACGGTTCTCCATGGCATCAGTTACAGTAATGTGTTGCTGGGGGAGGAGGCATGTTAATGATAAACAATTGTGACCAGTAAGCATGAGAAGATATCAGCTAACAGGAAACGGCAAACGCTACATGACTGTATCCAGTTATGTCCAAGTGCTTAACACCAAAGCTTTTAATGGACGACAAGGGAGTGTTTAACACCTTTTGAAATGCAGAGTTAAAAAAAGAAAAACAGCTCCCTTTGGTGGAAACAGCACCTGGACTCTGAGATAAATTAACTTCAACTAGCAGGTTGGGCCTCTTGCCTCCTTCCCTGGAGACTGTGATACCAGATCGACCTCCATTTCTCTACTGCTCCGTATGGTCGTTTTAGGCCATACAGTCCTGGAATGAACTGAAAACAAGGCTTTATAGAACCTGAATAATGAACCTGAAGCTCAAGTTAAAGGAAGAGGCACGTGTGGTTTCTGGCAAAAGGAAAAATTGCATTTTTAGAAGGATGACAATAGACTTTTCTGGCAACTTGCTGATTTGTGTAAATATGTGACTGACTGAGTAGCGTTAGCCCACAAGTCCTCAGTGTCCACATTCAGGGATGTGTGTGGCGGGCAATCGGGTGCACTTATCAAAGATATATTGTTTAGACAATGCAGCATTTTGTTCAGGGATTTAATTATCACAGGTTTCTGTTTCCATGGCATAAACAATTCTTTTAAATAAAAGACCATGTACACTTTTTTTTCTACACCTAATTGAGCAACTGCATCTTATCCACATGTTTATACCCATGTTTTCTAAGTATAGTACACCTGGTCCACAGTCATACATGTTTGAGGAACTCCAGAGACGATCATATTTCATGCCTCGTAAAAGCAATTGAAGTTCTGTTTATTGGTTTTGGACATGACTTTAGTTTCCATTTAGCATGAATGATTCAATAAACATTGCAATGTTTACTTTTGGTTGTAATTCATCAGGACTGCCACTCTGATTGCTCAGATCAGTGGATCGAGTTCATGAAAGAGCACTTCTGTGATTATCGAGGGATGTTTATGTGAAGCGCAGAAACAAGCAAGCGAATGTGGCTTTTTACTTTGGAGCACCGAGTCGTCAAGGTGAAATACGTCTGTTCGATCAACGCTCAGGAAGCTGGCTTTAAGCCTGACGCCCCTCATCTGCAAATGGAAACCCAGCTGGAGCCCCAGAATCAGACCCGGGGATGCATTTGACCATCTCGTCTGGGGAGGGGGGGTGGGTGGTGGTGGGGGGGGCTCGAGATGGTCCGAAAAGTCATACAGCAGCTGGTTGTGACTGCTGTAGTGTTCCGGAAAACGCCTTTTCCCAAATACCAGTATCGCTGCCTGTTCTCACAACAGCTCATTTGTTTCTGTGCTGGCCAAACCATGTCTTGTTTTATAAAATGAAATATAAGAAAAAATAATAAAATTCTTATTTAAAGCCGAAAACTATCCGACTTGTCACTAATCACAGAAATTATAATATTAACACAGACCGTTCTGTTTGGTCTCCTCGTTCAGATTCTCATTATTAACGATGTTAATGTGTTTTTTTTGCCTGGTTATCAGGACCTGCTTCGACTAAAACACATTAAAGTCTAAAATACTGCTTAGCTTCAATATAAATTCTGTGTTTGGCTCACGGGGATGTAACAGACCTTAAAACAACTGCCGTTTACACTGAAAGCGGCCGTGTTGACAGCAGTAGGTGACAGTGTTTAAGCTTTGTTCCCCCCATATGGGAAGGCGCCTCAGGATTCACGTTCTCTGTCCCGAGTGGAGACAGCGGGAGGGAGAGGGGGAGGGAGAGGGGGAGGGAGTCGGCGCGGCGAGGGGGGAGCTGAGTCAGCTTGGCCATCAGAGAGCATAATGGCACAGAAAGCCACGCTCTGGAGACGCCTCGCAGTTTCTCTCTTAGCAGCTTTTGATTTGTGAAGTCGCCACTGGAAACAATTATTCAATAATAAAAAAAACAAACATAATCGATTTTGGCTCGTTCTCCTTGTCCCAACAGTACAGTGCATTCCTCTTTAAATGCATTTAGCAGACTCTTTCATGCAATGTGATGTATACTTTTTTTGTTTTTGAGAAAGCCAGTCCCTGGAGCAATTGGGGTTAAGGGCTGTGCTCAGAGGTCCAATGGTGACATCACTCTGCCGACCACATGGATTTGAACCGGCAACCATTCTGATCGCAGGCGCAGAGCTAAGCCACTCAGCGCCCCCATTCAACATACAACTGTCAGTCAGTTATTTGACTTAAAACAGCCCAGACAATATTATCTCCCTCTGTATAGTGTTTTTGTTTGTCTGAATCACAAGTTGAAAAGCAGTAAGAATTAGCATATTATTTATAGTTATCAAATTGAAAACATTTGTGCCATAAAACATGCTGATGCATATGTAACCATAACAGAAACTTCTTGTATATAATTAATATGCATGTTTATCAGAAGAAGCAGGCATAGCAGCTAACGCCACCGCCGCAGTATTTTCTTCTTATTTAGTGTGGTCTTTGTGTGGCTTTGGGTGTGCAAATGTAGATAGCTTTTCTACTAATGTCAAATTATTTATAGTAGAACATATATTTTTTATAATAAACATAATGCAAATATTTTTTTCTCCGAGAATGAATGCTCAGAAACTTTGGTTGGTTTTTTTTTTTTGTTTCTGTTATGAATTTCTGTTGAAAATCAGAATTTGCTTGCACAATACAATATGGTTGATTGTAGCACTGAAAGAATGTCAGCTTCTGTGAGCTTTTGTATTAAAACTGCACTATACGGTATTTTGCGTAACTGACTTATTTTCTATTACAACATTGATATATTTAAGACACCTTCTGCTTTATCTGTGTTTCATTTATTTTGGGTCAGGTATATGGTAAGATGAAAAGTCTGTCTTTGCTCTGAAACGACGTACTGTTGGTGTACTGTGGAAAGGGCCGCTGAAACTTGTGGACTGAGCTCTAAGTGACAGGCAGACATCTTTCGTGAACACCCCCCCCCCCCCCCTCCCCACCACCCCGTGGGAATCCCTCTAAGGCTCAGGCCGGGAGACATTCATTATGTCTCCACTTCCATGCTTAATCACTCTGTGAAGGAGACACACTCATGCTGGTTTGAAAGCCACCGGTGGCCAGAAGATGTAACTGAGGAGCTGCAGTCTCATATTCCTCGTGTCAGACATGGTTTTTACTTCGTTGGATCAAGGAGCGACTGCTGTCAATAGGAAATATTTTAGCTGACCAGAGACCCTGCTGCCTATTTTCTATCCCGACATGAATTTGTAGCAGATTTATTTGAGTGGTTTTGTTTCTGCTGCAGAAATGTGCGGCATGCAGCACAGCCAGATGTGGCAGATCCGTGTTTAGAAATGGCCCCTGTACGCTACCTGAATACTCAGGGAAGGCCAGACGAGCAGGACAGGCCTATGAAAGGATATGTACAGAGTGTAAAGCGACAGAACGGGAGCCCTGGCACATGCTGAAGTTTCCCACGGCTTGTCGGCCATAACGTGCGGCCTGGCTGCTCAGTACCTCCTAATGCCATGGCGGAGGTGTGCTGTGAAGGCCCCATGCAGAAGCAACAGGCTACCCTGTACCTCCTATTGCCATGGCGGAGGTGTGCTGTGAAGGCCCCATGCAGAAGCAACAG